AAAATAAAGAAAATAAAATATTACATTACGGTAACCAACTTGATGGACGTTGGTTAATAAAATGGAATAAGGGTTCAGTCTCTGGTCATAAGGGTTCTTTTCACGGTAAACCATCAAGGAAGAAAAGTGAGAAGAGAAAGAAAGGCAAAGAGATAGATTGAGAAAAGGAGATTAGAGAACAAAAGATCAAGAAAGGATTCTCATGGATCAAGGTTAGTTCTCTTACTATGATTTATGTATTGATGTAATGCAAATGTGAAAATCAATAATCTAAAGATCCTGTAGAGTAGTTTTCTATAATGAATTAATAACGTAGGAAAACTACAGAAAATTAACATGATATACACGCATGATTTATCTGTAATAATATTGTTATTTTCCGCTAAACATGACATCTTATATGAACATGCAATTTCGTGTTCTTGATTGTTTGTGAACACTAATTTCTGTTTGTATTCATGCTCATCTTTTTCTTTGCATGGTCTTAAGAATCGAAGTAATGAATGCGCTTGTCTAGAATATTGATGAACGTATATATAATCAAATCGTGTATATAATCCATGGCTGGATTAATTAATTAGTTAATAATTTGTTTGATGAATTGAGAGGGACTGTATCTGAAATGAGACATCAATAAACAATAATAAGAAGTTTGATGAAGAACTCTAGTCTTTTATATAGTATTTTAGAAATATAGCGATCACAAATCTATAGAAATGATAGATCAAATGAAATGATAAATGTATATTTATAATCATGATAAAAAGAGGAAAATGTTCTTTCATTGTAAAATTTGAAATATTGACGGTATTGAAGTAATATGAGGATGAAATTTTACAATAAATTAAAGATATTATCATTTTTATGTATTTGGCTTCCTATATTTCCCTTTTATTTGAAAAACTGTAAATTTCAGATCATTCAGCAAATAAACATGTTATTTGAAAAAAAAAAGTGCAATAAAAAGATTTGATGTCTATTTATTTTTATAGAAAAAGAAAGAATGAGGTTTGGGTGCTTGAATATGAAACATTACTTGACCAAATGAGAGTGTTAGAGCATACCCTAAACCAAATGAGAGTGTTAGAGCATACGAAAACATTATAAGAAAAATTGAAATTATCGATGGATAAAAATATTTTTATTATTTATTAAGAGAATTATCATTAATAGTGATTCAAATTCAAGTATCTTAGAGTTGGAGGCTAATACTCCAACCAGGTAAGCTACTAGAATTTTTTTATTATAATTTACAATAAATTATATTTATATACAAATAAATGTATATTCAAATAAATATATAAATACAATATATTTATATGTTTATATTTGTATATTTATATATTTATATATTTGTATATTTATATATTTGTATATTTGTATATATTTATATATATTTATATATAACTAAATATTTATTTTTTAAATTATTTAATTTAATAAATTATTATAAATTAATATAATTATGATTAAATTAATTTATTAAATAGAAAAAATATTTAATTTTTTAATTAGGGGAATAATTAATATATTAGAATATATTTAAAATTAATATAATTTTATCGACTGGATATATCCGTCGATAAGTAATTGTTAATTTATTGACGGATTTATCGATAGATATATCTGTTAGTAATTAATTGGTAATTTATCAGACTGAGATATATCCGTTGGTAATTAATTTTTAATTTACCAACGAGATATATCTGTTGGTAACTAATTATTAATTTATCAACGGATATATCCATCGATAATATCAATTTTCATAAATATTTTATATTCGTCCATAATTTTGGTCAGTAATAACTAATTTTTCGTCTACTATAAATCTGTCAATAAAAATTATCGAAAATAAGAGATTTTTTTAGTGAAAAGTAGCGTGGAGGATGAAGGGATTATTGTGACCATGAACATGTGAAGAAGCATTTGGGTCGAGAATAGTTTTTTTTTTTGTCCAGACCCTTTTCTTTGTCTTTTCTCCAAATAGTCATGTTTTAGATAGATTTAACTTTTTTTTTATTTATGCTATTAACGTACACGTGTAAAAATTTGCTTTTGGTGTTATTTAAATTTGTATATAATATAGATAAACTTTATTATGTAATAATACAATTACCAATTGACTAGAGTATAATGTTTTTCTGGATTTTTTTTCATATTTTCATTTAAAAAAATGACCGATAATATTATTTTTTATATTTTGTAAATTTAATTTTAATTTAACTATATTTTTAAATCCTACATATATGATACAATTTTTAGTTCATGTAAAAATATTAGTTATTTTTAAATCCTTAGTATTTATTTATAATATACTAAATATTTTACTCAATTAAATTATGTACTTTAATATAACATAATTTTAAATAATATTTTATATTTTTCTACTAAATTAGTTATAATTCATAACAATGATTAAAAAAATACAAAATAAAATGTGAAAGGTTTAAAAGTAACCCAACAAAATTACATGAACTATACAAAACAATATTTTAAAAGACTTACAAATATTTATGTAATTAAGGATAGAAAAAAATTAAGAGTAATGATTTTTTTTCTATTTTATTAGTTAATATTTTAGTAAAAAACAAGAACAAAATTATATAAAATTTTCTTATTTAAAAGTTCATGTTTTAGTAAATGATTTTTTTTCTCATATATTCTTCGTAGGATTAGGATTATGGATACTCGATTGGGATTTCAACCTTGCTTAGACATTTATAATATTTTGCTTCTTAATTTAAAAAAAAAATGAAAAAGTTGTCATGTACTAAGGTGAAGAATCAACTTATATATCATTGTAAGAATTTATGATATAAATTGGTTCGATTTTATTATTCAAGTTGTCACTTTTTTTAAGATAAATTAATATTTCAATATGAACTAATTTATCATATGAGTTTTTTATTTATTTATACTAGCAAGTAAATAATTTTTAATTTAGAGAAATCGTCTAATTAAACTACAATAACTTAGTTCTTTATTATAAATACTGATAATTCAATAATTAATATGATTATGTGAATTTTTATCAAGAATCTTTTATGTATCAATTTGATTTTTAATATTAAGTTCGAACTACAATCTCAATTTGAATTCAAACCTTAAAAGTAAAGTATGATCAAAGTAAATGTGTGAGACCCAGCGTAATTCAAATGTTAGTTTAAGTTTCATATTAAGTAAGAATGAAAAAGTTGAACAACATATAAAAAATTATAAATCATAATTCAATGTCTTAAGATTTTTTGTTGAGAATGATTTCAATATCTTACGTGGGTTGTGTTCATGTCTCGTTGTTGTTTCTCTTTAGTAAATTTTTCTCGAAAGACTCAACACGTGGAAGAGTAGATTACTAGAAAAGTAAATCCAACTCATTAAAATTATCAATAATACTTTGTCTTTCTCAATTTCTTTAAATCCGTATATCTTGATAAATCATTGTTCTTTCTTGAGATTTGATCCCTTGTCTTTCTCCATTAACCCTTTCTCGATAGATATTTTGTCTTTCTTAATTTTTTTAAATCCATATATCTCGATAAGTTATTGTTCTTTATCAATTATATAACCTTTCTTGATACCTCACTTGCCTTTATCAAATTCTCTAAGTCTTTGATTTACATTTGAAAATATTATCCACTTCAATCAATGTGTTTCTCGATTTTCCATCAAGTTATGATGAATATTCAATTCTTTCATTCTACTCGATCACTTTGCTTTCATCTCGATTTCTTCTTTCGATTACTATGAAGTATCAATTATCTAATTATTCGATTTGTACTCTAGATCACTTGTTTTCTTCGATCTTGGTTTCTTATATACCTCTCAATTGATTATTCGATTACTTATATTTTCGATTTTCAATCCTCAACATTTCGATCTCGATTTTCACTCTCTCGATCTCGATTTTTACCCTTTTAATTTTTACTATTTCGATCTCAATTTTTACCTTGTATATATGTACCATATTGATCTTAATTTTTATCATCAATCTCAATTTTTATCGTCTCGATCTTTAATATCTCAATCCCAATTTTCATCATCTTTCAGTTTAATCTTTCAATATATTTATAAATTTATCAATAACAAATATATTGTAAATAAATAAAAATTTATGTGCATAATAAAATATAAGTATAAATTTAAACATGGTAAAGATTATTTTTTCTTATTTATCAATAATAATTTTTAATTAAACTAAATTATGAAAAAACACTCGGTGAAGATAAGAAGAGTGATAATATTTACACAGAAGGAAAGATAATAAAGAGGGAGAGAGAAAATATAAAAAAATTATTTATTTTTTAAAAAGAATAAATAAAAAGAAAGTAAGAAGAGTCAATAATTATTAATTAATAACTAATAAAATTTAAAATATTTTCTTTTATTTCTTTCTCCAAATTTCAAAATTATTCCCCCTTTTCGCTTTATTTTTATAATTGTATGAAAAAATTAATAATTTATAACCATTAATAAAGAGATTAATTTTTTAATTTTTTACGTATTCTTTTTACTATTTTATCTTTGATAATCACGATTTGTTTTAATACCAATTTTTTGCAAAAAAAAATAAAATTATTATTTTATTTGTAATATTTTAATAACTGTTTAATTAATAACTATTTTTTAATTATATGAACTATTTCTTTTTCTATGCATATTGTTTTTTTTACAATTTTTGAAAATTTTCTCTTACTCTCACGACATTTTAATAATTCCTTTTTCTATGAAAATTGCTACATAAATTATTACACATATTTTCCATAATAATTAATAATGATGAAGGAAATTTTCACTCAATTGAGAAAATAGATAAAATATAAAATATTAACTTTTTTTTTTTTTCATAAACCCTTATTATACCTTACCGCACTGAATCCTCGCACCACTTCCATTAAGAACTAACCGTTGTTTCCCGCTGCAAAACCTACCATTTCTAACACCCTCGCACCCTTTCACTCTTCTCTAACACCCTTTCACTCACTATTTATATTCACTCTCTCATGTCATTTTCTTGTGCCATCTTTTTCCGAAATTTTATATATTCAGGAACCACTATGACAAAGGAATGGGCAGATACATCCTCTCCAAGAAGAAGCCCTAGGTTGTTCCACAAGTATCTCAAACCAGGAGCACTGGCCAAACTGAGGGACTCCAAGATCAAAGAAAGACACAATCAAAGAGCAACAAATAAAAATTCTCTCCATGAAGCGTTGTTGTTAACACCAACATCTCCATCCTCACCCACCCAAAATGATTATCAGCCTCTGAACCAGGATAATGGGGTTCCATGCTTCACTTCCCCCGTCAATTTCAATAACCCCAGTTGCCTCCGCCGCAAGAAACTCTTCGCGGTTACTCCAACTTTCACTCACGCTGATGAATCTCAGTTCTAGTTCTTGCAGGTTTTTGAATTCTATATAGTTTTTCATTTGTTTGCTGAAACTCGTATGTGTTTTGTTTATTTTAAATTGTAGTTGTGTTCTCAGGCTGTATTTGTGATATATACGCATGATTTATATGTAATAATATTGTTACTTTCCGATAAACATGACATCTTACATGAACATGTAATTTCTTGTTCTTGATTATTTGTGAACACTAATTTCTGTTTGTATTCATGGTATAATCTTTTTTTTCTTTGCGTGGTCTTAAGAATCGAAGTAATGAATGAGCTCGTGTAGAATATAGATGAACGTATATATAATCAAATCGTGTATATAATCCATGGCTGGATTAATTAATTAATTAGTCAATCACTTGTTTTATGAATTGAAAGGGACTATATCTGAAATGATACATCAATAAAAAATAATAAGAAGTTTGATGAAGAACTCTAATCTTTTGTTAACTCCGAAAATCAATTTGAGTTGAGTTCTTGGATATTGAACTTTATTTTTGAGTTCTTCAGTTGAGAATTTGTTTTTCTCAATAATATAGAATTCAACAGAAAGATTAAAATTTGAAAAGACCCTTATTTTATTCATGGAAGGACTTTGTGAAAAAAATGTATTTATAGAAAAAATATAACTGAAATAATATATACTAATATTAAAAAAAAATATATGGCCATATAGAAAATTTATACTGTGATTTCTATTTTAAACCGATTAAATAAATCTAAAATTTAAATTATGTAAATAAAAAAATATATTTATCACCAGTTAGAGGACTCCAAGATCAAAACCAGACGCAATAAAAGCAACAACGCAAATATTTTTTTCTTTCTGAAATGTGATTATTAACTCCAAGATCACCAGTTAATAATACATTTTTTTAGGGTTAAACAGGTTTTTTTGAATTGGATTGCTTTTTATTGGAATTTTTTAAAATTGTTTCTTATGTGATGATTCTCTAATTGTATGTATTATTAACTTATTATTGAATTTTTTTAAAAAAATTAATAGATAATGCTTAAATGAAAACTATAAATATTTTTATTATTTTATATTAATAAAAGAAGATACCAAATTATTATTTTTTATTTTTACTGTCTATATATCAATTCTTATTACTTAAATAAAGTACATATACAAAATGATTTTCGGGTTCTTGATCTTAATTAAGAATCAATTAATTAATGAATGCATGTATGCATGATTTCTGTGTTTTTATTTTAATAAATAATTATTTAATTATTATTTTTTTATTTATTTGGTTGGGGTTGTTGAAACAACAATCGATACCTCTACATGTGAAGAGTTAGCTCAGATCAATGCTCTGATTTTTGCAGTCTTGTCCATACTTTTTCCCCTAATAATTTTACTACAGATTTTTTTTTTTTTCATAATTCTTTTTCTATAGTCGTAAAAAATAATGTTCAAACTAATACGGTGAATTTTTTTTTTTTTTGACAAAATTCTCCTTATATGTAAACTATTTTGTAGATATTTTTTTTTCATATACATGTATATATTATTCTTGTTTTTTTCTTTTACAAATCCTTATGAAATTTTTATTAAAAAATCATTTCAAAATGTAAATATGATCATAATAAATATATGATATCTATATTTTTAAAATTTTAAAGTAAACATAATAATTTTTTTTATAAAGAAATATAAAAAAATTATAGTATAGGATATATTATCTATAACATTGATTTGATCAACTCCTTGAAATCTGACATCTAGAGCGGAGAAATAAAGAATTAGAAAAAAAATAGTGATTAAAATTTAGATTACGGAAATTATTGATACATGTATCTTCTCAATAAATCAAATACTTCTTTTTGTGCATACATCTTTCTTTTTGTGTGTGTGTCACATATATTTTATCACATTTTAAAATACATCAAATCACTTTTTATTTTTAATTCACTTTCAAACTGTAATAAGTATATTTGATGATTTTAAGTAATCTTTGATGATTTTAAGTAATATTTAGTTTTTCAATTTGTTTTGATTATATTAAGATATTCAAAAATCATCATGAAATTACATTTTGTCAATTAATTTAATTTTAAAGAATTTTGAAAATAAAAATAATTTGTATTTTTATATTATTCCAGTGTCTCAACGGCATACAAGTTCTAAAAAATCATTAGAAAGTAGATTGCGAAAGTGTTTGGGCTCATAAGTATTTTATCAATAGATCTTAGCTCAGTTTTCTTGAACAAAATCTCAAATTCAATTATATGAATGAATAAAATTTAATTAAAAAGGAAAACTCCACTAAAAATTACAAAATAGTTAAAATTATATATCAAGAACATGGTTAATAAAAGGATAATTATTCTAATTTATACATAAATATTACATAGCTAAATACTATTAAATTGATGATAATAATAATTTGAATTATAATTAATGAAATGGATGTATCAAAATTAATTTTGAAATGCTGTTTAAGAATTTGTTGATTTGGTAGGTGCTTGATTGAGGAGGCAGCTTAATGAAAGGAACAAAAGGATGCACTAGATTTGTTCCCTAATTAAATTTTCCTAATCACCACATACAAACAAACAAACCCTCAAACTATAAATCCCTTTAAAACTTCCCCCCTACAAACTTATCTTTTATAATCCCCTTACACTTTCATCTCATTATTTTCTGAATTTTCTGAGTAACTTCATCCATGACTAAAAGAGTAAACCCAAACCCAAAGGCACGCCCATTTTCTGCAAAAAGAAGGGGAACAACATGCTCCAAGTACATAGTACCAGGAACCCTCGCCAAAATGAGGGACTCCAAGATCACACGCAATCGAAGGCCAACCCAGGTTTCTTCTTCTCTAGTCTCACTTACACCCTCCTCTACCTTCCAACAGGATCAGCCACTCAACCAGGATAATGGGGTTCCTTGCTTTGCCCTTCCCCTCTATTACACTCAACCCACTTGCTTCAATCGAAAAAAACTATTTGCGGTTACTCCTACTTTCACCCCCATTGACACACACCAGTTTTAAATAGCTAGAGACTAATTTCTTTGAAAACATGAAGTCTTGTTCTTTTGGATATTCAAGGTTTTAGGATTAATTATTCAAATGTGTTGAAGTTGTACGAGTGTTATCACGTAGTTCTATGCGAACCACATAGAACTGATGGTGTCATCTAACCTGTATGTACTGTAATTCCTGCCTTGGTTGTGCCCTTCTTGTTCTTGATCATTGTTGTGCGCGGTATGTTTTGGTTTGTGGTTGCAAACTTGCCGTAAATTTAATGGGTATTTAATGGAGAAGATACACTTTCATCATTCCTATTTTAATTTTGGGTGTGAATTTTCTTTTCTAGCGGGTTTTAGAAACACCTTTGGTGCTTTGATCGTTCAAATTTTACGCCATTTGAAACAGTGGAAAGTGAAAGAATGAATGGTAAGGGAAACACAGAAAAAAAAACATTTCCTTTGTTAGATTGATTTGAAAATGAAGATTACAAACTGTGACATTAAAGATTTTTTACACTGGATTAGGGTTAGGGTTTTTTATATAAAAAGATTTTAAAATTTTTGTTTTGATAAAAATAGTTTTATAATATTTGGCAAATATATCATTTAAAACAAATTTTTATAAATTTTAAGAAACTTTTCACACAATATTAAAGAATTTCCTTCATATATATCTTTAAGAATTTTTAAACTCTTTCTATCCTCTAATTATAAAAGTTGAATTGATAAACAGATTTTCATTCATTAATGAATACTACAATTAATATTTTAAAACTATTTTTCAAACCTATGAATAAAAACAAGTTGTGAATGCATATACGACAAGTAAACGAGGGCATAAAGTCAGAACCAAATAATTATTAAAATATTAAATTTACTATTTTTTTATCCAAACTTTATACTTTTTAAGAACTATTTTTCATGGAATTGTGTAGTTTGGAGTGTTTTGTAAAAATATATAGAATTTATTTTCAAACCATACATATTCATAATAACACAAATCTCTATCTTAGTGATCGTTTAGTCTTTATGTTCATGTGTTTTTTGAACTAATTAATTTTCTTTCTTTCAATATTGCATCTTACAAAGATAAAGTTAAGGACTAAATGTATAATTAAAATTTTACAAACACCAAAGTTAAATATTAACGAACAAGGATAAAAATAAATTAATTCTATACTTTTAAACAAAAAAAAGGTACTATAAAATCAATTAAATCTATAACTAATTTACCTAATTGTATTTATTTATAAAATAAAATTGCAGTTTATTAAGGCGGTTTAAAAAACTATTTAAATAAATAACGCGTAGTATAATTAATTTAAATTTTGCAGATTGCCAATACGCTTCTTTTATTTCATTATTATTATAAAATTTATAAAATAAAATAAATTATTAAATAATGTGAGTGACTAAAGAATTTATAATTTATAATTAATAAAAAAGCATTAAAAATATATTGGTGATATTTGTTTAAATTTAATATGTGAAGCACGCAAATACAATATGGGCCACGACCTGAGAAGGGTTAGTTGTTTCCCGCCACAAACATAGCCTTTAAAACCCTCTCACCCTTCCTCCTCTTCACTCACACCCATTTCATTCCCTCACTCTCTCACTTCTCTTTCCCAACTCTTCTCACTACTTCGTCGTCTTCAACTAACCACACATGGCTACCATCCCAAACCCTAGCCCCAAATCCTACCAGAAATACCTAAAACCAGGGGCACTGGCCAAACTTAGAGACTCCAAAATCACATTGTCTAGACACAATAACCGAAGAGAAACTCACAATTCTCTTTCTCGACTATTATCATCACCCTCCTTTTCCCCAATCCAACAGGATCAGTTTCTCAACCATGATAACACGGTTCCTTGCTTCCTTCTCCCAATCTATCTCAGGCGCCCCTGTTGTCTCCTCCGAAGAAAACTCTTCCCGGTTACTCCCACCTTTACCCTCACTGACACATACCAATTCTAGGTTGAAACGGTTTTTGCTGATTCATCACACAGTAGATTTAAGGTTGTAATTTTTTAATATTATTATTTATCACAGTGTGTTGTGTATTTTACGTCAGCATGTAGATCTGAGCATGTCGAAAATGGATACGTCTTGAATTGAGTTAAGAGGTATTTGGATTTGTGATTTAAAGCACTGCGTGAGTTATTATTAATGTATTTATTGTGCTCATGAACTAGGATTCGTTGTTATTTCAATTGTGGGAGAACCCTAGGAATAAACACCAGAAAGTAAATGAGAATCGAGTGCATTGATCTTCTTTAATGGAATGATACTTGGGAATATTATCACCACCTGATTTCATTTGTTAAATGAAGGAAGCTGCTTGGAAATGTTAATACAATGTTTAATTGCGCTGTGTAATGGATCATATATCGATCCTTTGCTTCTTTTTGTAATTGTGTTGTGAGCTCTATAATTGTTAATGCAGAAACTAAAGGCATGGTTATTCAGACTGAACATAATTGTTAATTGATATTAATTTGAATATGATGCTTCGGACTCGTCTAGCTTCCATAACACCAAAATGGCACTGAAAATACATGAAACACGAAGAAGGAAAGATTAACAAAATACATATTCGTGCTACATTTTGGGCCAAAATTTAATATTACTCTGAATTGGTTAGGGATTATGATACATACTACTCTCATTTCTGATTAACAGCATATAATTCTCGTGTTATTAGTTAGTCTCTTCACTTAACATGGTGACATCTTTGTTGAAAAGAATCAATTATGAATGCCACAGGATGACGTCAACTGTAATCAAAGCATATACTATTCACTAATTATAGATTCATAACTGTGATTTATGATTTTTTTTTCACTCCTTTGAATTAATCTGGAGCAGCTATCTATATATAATATCGCAAATAAGAAAGTATCCTTTCTAAATATGCTAATAAACTGACATTGTAGTTTGAGCCATTACATTATCAAGTATCAATCAATACGTCAAGAAGAAAGACCTTGATCTGCTAAGCCCTAGCTATCAAAAGCAACAAGGCCCTCATGTGTGAGATTACATGAAATAAGATATATAGTATATTTCACCAGAATAACTATTTATTAAGAATAATAACAATAATAATAAATAACCATTTTCGACATCTCGTAAATGAATATCTCATGATTCATATACATATATGGCATCTAGTTCAAAAATATTATCGGTTTCCTACTAAAGTAAAAATAAAAAAGTGGAGATTATTGCCACGTGTTAGACCGTGAGTCCGGGCTTTATTTGGTGTGTTGTAGTGTGTGGAAGTGTGTGAAGTATAGAACCTAGATAAACTTGCCGGCATGTAATTCACCAAAAACTTGCAGCTATGTATTTGGAAAAGAATAATCCATTGTTTTCACAAGATGCATACCTTTTGTTGCTTAATTTGATTCACATTTCTTCTTTCCGCACGTATTCTTTTCTCACCATTCTTTTATATATTCACATCTCCTACCACATCCTCATCGCTTATCATATCTTAATCCCTTCACACACAGATTATTAAGATGGCATTCTATCCTAAAACCATCTTTCCAATCACTTTGCTTCTTGCAATCTTTTTATCAGGTAACAATACCTTGCCAAACATAATCATCCATTCATTCATTCAAATCACTTTTCCAAGGTTTATGTGATATGAAAAAGTATAAAAGAATATGTTTACTTATTCATCCATTTTCTTAATATTCCTCTTTCTCTTTTGCATCTTTTATCACTCTCTTTATCTCTTTTCTTCTTATGTTTCAACTTTGTTCACTCCAAAATGGGAAAGACAATACAAAAGGCTTCGTTTACCAACATCCAATTAGCAACCATTAAATATTATTACGAAGATAATTGCTTTTACACAAAATCATTGCAAATTCATATCTATTTCAATTTCTAATTAATTCATGATATAAATATTTGTAGTCCTACATAAAATTTAAACTCTGCAAGAAAACAATGTGTTATACTAAGATATGATAGAAATCTCTAGAATTATATATTTTTATTCTAAATCAAGTCAAATATTTACTAGCTTTTTTTTGTTAATAAGTTTGTTTATTTGTTTTTTTTTTATGGAAAAACTTGATACCGAAATTTCTCTTTTCAAAGATATGTCTTTTCTTATGATGAAACCTTGAAAGTCATGTTCTTTGTCTCGCCAGGGCAAAGACCATGCGAGAGCGCAAGAGTTTTCACCATCGTCAACTACTGCAAGGAGACCCTGTGGCCGGCGGTGACGCCCGGAGAGAAATTCAACGGCGGCGGTTTCGTTCTCAAACCGGGTCAATCCGCGGTCTTTACCGCCCCGGTGAGTTGGAGCGGCCGCATTTGGGCACGAACCGGTTGCAAATTCGACCAAAACGGAAACGGGCAATGCCAAACCGGTTCATGCGGCACAACGCTGAAATGTTCGGCCTCGGGAAAAACGCCGGCGTCACTCGCGGAATTCACACTCGCGCAACCCGACTTCTACGACGTTAGCCTCGTGGACGGCTTCAACGTCCCCATCGCCGTCAGGCCCATTAACGGAAAGGGAAACTGCTCCTCCGCGGGATGCAACTCCGACCTGAGAGCGACTTGCCCCAACGAACTCGCCCTTAAGGCTAACGGCAAGACCGTTGGGTGCCGTAGCGCGTGTGACGTGTTCAACACCGACGAGTATTGCTGCAAAGGAAATTATGGGAACCCCTCCACTTGCAAACCTACCTTTTATTCCAAGAAGTTTAAGGAAGCGTGTCCAACTTCTTATAGTTATGCCTACGATGATCCAACTAGCATCTTCACATGTTCTGCAACTGATTACATCGTAGCCTTCTGCTCCTCCAGGTTTCTGCATTCAAATCTTTCTATATATCTTCAACATCTTCACAACTATTTCTTGTTGATATTAACAAACTCTTTGTGTTTTTGGACTTCAGGAAACGACAGGTATGCACATACCATGATAACAAGCTTCACTGTAGTGGATCACAAGGATTGAAATCGCTGACTGGAAGGTGGTGCATCGTCATGATAACTCTGCTTTCCGTTCTTTGTTTATGGAATGGGTTCTAGTCTACACAACATGATCAAAGTTTGTTAATTTCACCAAGAGTTCAATTCATTTTAATTAAGTTTAATGCATTCGATGAGTTTGTGCAAATGGAACCAGTTTTTAAATTCTTTTTTTTTTTCTCTGAGGATGTTAATTACCGTTACGGAGGATCTATACTGTATACCCCGTGTACGTTATGATTCCTATACGGGGAAGGTGTTGTTTTAATAATTTGATTTGATTCATATTCATTTCCTTTGATTTAAGGAAAGGAAAACGATGATGTACACTTGAGGTTATTCTTGTCGATCAACCCATTTTCATGCTACCAAAAATATAACATTTGTTTTGCTTTCGGTTATTTGGGCCAACATCCGTAAATAGAATTATGGGTTTTTTACTGCCTTTGGGCTTGGCTTTTTGTAGCCCCATGTTTCCTAGTGAAAGACCAAAATATCCTTTTCCACCTCTCACTGTCCCCGTCATGCACTGAAAAACCCTGTTCGTCTGAGAGAAGAGGTAAAAACATTTAATACTGTCATATACTCTTTTCGTTACATAATAAGTATTGTTTTAAAATTTTATGTAGATAAAGTAAAATTAATAAATATAAGCGGAAAATTAGTAACTTTCATTTTCTTAATAATGAAAGCTACTTTGCAAATTTATATTTTTTCAAATGTTTTATCGGAAACTTTTAATGTTATGAAAAAGTTATTGTAAAAAAAAAATAGTATTCTCATACTTGGATTCCACTTCATTTATACGTTGGAGTAATTTTTAATTTTAATTATAATTATAATTTTTTTGTGGAATAATCGTCTTGAGATTAACTTAGAACATTACCTCGCACGTACTACTCAAATATAAAATTAGTTTAAAAAAATACTTTACAAAATGAGCTTAAATAAATTTATTTAAAGAATGAGCTATCCTTAAATCAAACTTATATACAATTTATAAATAAAAAAGTATGTTTTAAAATAAGATATTTAATGAAAATAATTTAAAAAAAAGTGAACAATTCAGAAACAGTTCTATATGTTTAAAAAGAAGTTTAGAATACTTTGGCATGCATAATTGTACAGTTAAACTAATTTCTTTTATCTTCAATTTTATAAATTTGTTGCCCAATTAATTTATTTTTTTCTTAAACTATTCAAATCTTTTAGTTTTTAGAGTTGATTAATGGTTAGAATGTGTTTGGTTTAATGTTTCACTATGAATGATTTCTTTCAGTTTAGAAACAATTGGGTATAACTTTTACGTTTTATTCAAGGTTTTTATGTCCTATAAATATAAGCACGTAAATAATGGAAGATTAGATGCTAAATAATAGAAATTAGTAATAATGAATTTGAATATGTATTTATCAATTGCCTCTTAAATTTGTTTACTAAATGCATGTTTATGGATAAGCTATGAACATGAAGAACTAATTTGAATTTGGCGCTTCGCATGATTCAAGGACAAATTTGGTACAATTTTAATTGACTAAATGCGCATGTACATGGCCCACGTGTGTGTGTGTAATGTTCACTCATGTATGACTTTTTTCCATCACCGTCCTAGCAACAGTATAGAGGTGCTCTTAGGCTCTTAATGCTCTAGAAAAAAATTTAAGGCATATTTATTTATTTAAATAAAACAGTTTTTAATTTTAAAAAATATTTTTCTATAATTGTTTTATTAAAATAATTTTTAAATTTAAAAAATTTAAAACTGTTGAAAATGTAATTTATTTTAATTTTATATTTTCATTAATAATTTCATTATATCACAATTTTAGTATTATAATTTTTTACAATATTTTATAATTAATTATTTTTTTAAGAAATCTCAGGAGATATCATTATATATATAAGTGAATTCACTTCAATTTAATTTAATTTAATTAATTATTTCACAAATTTTAAAATAATATTAGAATAAATTATAGAAAGATTGAAAGATTAATTATTAACATAAGTTAAATCATCCGTTATTATACAAGAAAAAAATTCTCGCGTACTAGACCGATTAATAATTCCTAGACGTTATGCATAAGTTATTTTAAAAATACAGAAAAATCAATTCTCACGTACCACACCCTATAAATCAATTTAAAAAAAGTCTTAAAAATTAGAAAGAGAAGTTAGTTTATTTTATAACAACCAAAAAAAATGTGTAAGTAAACTGTGATTTTGTAGCCTGTGGTGTGGAATTTAAAAATAAAAATAAAAGTGGTTGAATCTTGTAGAGCGTGGGAATCCGGGAACCAAGTTCTACGACCAGGGATGCATTGGGTGGCAATTGTGGTTGCTTTTTGAAACGCATTGTCGTACATTCCTCTGTGTATCTCAGTGGATGGGCCACAAGATCCATAATCCTGATTATATATTTGATTATGAGAAGTGAAGAAACACACGTTTAGGTTCAGTATCCAACATAAATGGATCATATAATAAATTTCACACTGTGCGTCCACCGCTTTGGTCCCATTACATTTATGTACTTTGTCCCTAGCCTCCTTCAATTTTTCTTCTTCTATGCTCTAGTAATGTACAACAGTTATCATGTACCCACTTCCATAGCCTAGTCCATTGCTCAATTATTTGAGATTTTAATTCTTCTTCTTCTTCACTTTTTCTCTTGCCTCCTCTATCAAAGTTACAATCATTTTAAAGTGATGGTGTGTGGGTCTAAGAGTTTGCAATGGAGGGAAATGTTTATTAAACAATGATCCACTTTAAAATAAAGTTTGAGTTATAGTATGCAAGAAAAAAAAAAAAAAAACATGAAAAATTAAAATGGTCTTCAATTATTACTCTGCAAATATTTATAACGGGTAAGCTTGTAAACCTGACATTGTTGGCTTATGGGTCTGCAGAATAGATATTTAATATATTAGAAATATAAATGGTCATGTCATCCAATAATACTTTACGATTCTGTATGAAATGTAAGTTTGGAAATCACCGGATATGCTTCGATTCGATTATAAAGGACTTCATGGACGTGGGGTGGTTCCGGCCTCCAAAATTTTGATTTTTTTTTTGTTTATATATATATATATATATATATATATATATATATGCATATAAAAAGTTACAAATTAAATCAAATTATTTTTTAACTATAAAAATCTACTATTATATTTTTTTATAAATAATAATAATAATAATTATAATAACTATTTTTTATATAATTTTGTATTTATATTTTTTTCTCTTATTTTTATATTTTATTTTTCTACTTCCATATTTTTATTTTTTATTTTTTTATCATTGCATATTCTTTTTTTTTCACTTACATTTTTTATTTTCATCTTATAATATAAAAAAATTGTAAGTTTTTTTATAATTTTTTTTGAAGTAAATAATTTTTTATTCTTTTTTCATTATTATAGCACATTATTGTGTATATTATTTACTTCCATTAATTAATTATTTAAATATTTTATAATGTTTAATTTCAATGTTAAAATTTTTAATTTAATGAATAATATCAAAATATTATTAAATAACTTATAATATAAATTATATAATAATTAACAATTTTTATAATATAAAATATCGTTAAACATACTTAAAATATATTTAATCTCTTATATATTTATTTTATGTCAATGATATATAATTTTTAATAATTTTATATAATATATATTTTTATATCATAAATAAAATAAAGGAGAAGGAGTGATACTTGGACGGTATACTCAATTAAAATTGAGCATCGAAAGTGAAAAACATAAAAGACAGAAAAAAAAAGAGAAAATAATGTCAAAAATTAAAAACTATATTTTCTTATTATATATATATATATATATATATATATAAATATATATGTATATATCAAATTAAAAAGATTTGTACATGTATTTATGAGAGGAAAATGATAAAAATATTGGTAAGACCGTTACCATGAAAATAATTTAATTTTAATTTTATTTTAGCATCCCCTCATGCTTAGAATATATGTTGATTATTCCTAACTTGGTAATTAAATGTAAGAGTTGACAAGGTTTTTGTCCGAATATCTACAATTTGTACGTTGGAAGAGACATGAAAAAGTTTTATCAATCTATGGTTAACTTTTTCTCTGTTAATATGACAATATATCTCTATGTGTATGTGTTTAGTTTTTTCATATAAAACTTGATTGGAGACAATTTGAATTATAGATATGTTCTCACAGTATAATAATGTTGGACAAGAATAATTTATTTTTAGATAATAAAAAAGATATGTGAGTCATTGCAGTTTTGGTACTTCTTAAGGCAATTTATTATTATTTTTATTTCTAAGATATGGGTGAAATTGTCATGTTATATAAAAGAAATATACCTTTTTCTAGAGAACTTTTGAAATATCGAAGAATTCTTAGAATAACTTGATGTTGAATAGTAGTAGGAACATAAATATTTTGACTAAGGTAGTGAACAAATTGAACAATGTCAGCTCTTGTATAGGTAAGATAAATGAGTCTCCGCGGATAAATGTTGAACAAAATTACCAACGGATAAGAATCGTCGAAAATATTTTTATTATTGCGAGATTTGAACCTAGTACTTTAGAGTTGAAGACCGATACTCCAACCACTAAGCTACTAAAATTTTTTGATAATAATTTATAAATAAATTATATTTATATACAAATAAATATATATCCATGTAAATATATAAATACAAATATATTTATATATTTTGATATATTTATATATAATTAAATATTTATTTTTTTAAATTATTTAATTTTATAAATTAATCTAATTATGAATAAATTAAATTATTAAATAAAAAAATATTTAATTTTTTAATTAAGTGAATAATTAATTAATTAGAATATATTAAGTAATTATTATATAATTTTATCGACGGATATATCCGTCGGTAACTAATTGTTAATTTACCGATGGATTTATTGACGGAAATATCCGTCGGTAAATAATTGTTAATTTACCAACGAATTTACCAACGGATATATCCGTCGGTAATTAATTATTAATTTACCGACGGATATATCCGTCGATAAGACCAAAT